TATATATGATATATGGGGCTAGGAAGGACTGCTTTGGCGAGGTCCAGCCAATCCTTTGTAGTACACTGCTGATGAGCCAAGCCTTGGAGGAGAGTATCTACCCAGGGTGATCCCGGGCCATCCTCAGCTTTTTATCTGGAGAGTATCTACCCAGGGTGATCCCGGGCCATCCTCAGCCACCGCCTTTTTATCTGAAGGCTCGTCTGGGGGTGGTGCCGAGGGCTTAGGGCTCTCAGGCTGAAAGCATGCCTTTAAGGCCGAGATAGTAGGGTAGAACTCCAGCAGTGGATCAATCCCCAATTGAACCTCCCTTTGTTGAGCTAGACATTTCACACGTTCCCATGTATCCCCAGTAAAAACATTAGCCCAAGTAGCCAGGGAGCCAAATGAATGGCCTCTGCCCAAACCTTTTGAGCTGCGGGATCTGACAGATCCAACCCCCTGCTTTTAAGCATATCTCTCAGAGCCTTAAGCTCCGGGCCCTCAGGCTTATTAATTGCGTTACCCATCTTTTCAGGTATTGTTTACCCTGGACTCTCGATTGGCCCCAATCCTTTTCTTTTCACCTTCCTTTAAGTGCCACGCTAGGCGCCAGTTGTGGGGGTGGGGTGTGGGATGACTGGGGATGAGAAAGCGTGCCGTTCATCAGCCCTTGCTGCCCCCAGCACCGGAAACAATCAGACGCAACAGGGAGTCTAGTCAAGCAGGAACTCATTTATTGGAGGTGTTACAGAGCTTATAAAGGCATCTGGAAACCCCCCTCCCCCATGAGGGTGTATCTTAAGGATGATCACTGCACTCCTGATCATGCACTGATCATGCACTCCTCTTGCATTCCTCAGCACTGATCATGCACTGATCATGCACTCCTCAGCAGTGCGGAAGTATCCGTCAGACTTTCAAAACAAGTCAGGCCACGCCCCAGTAACTTCCTCTCGGTACCACCTTGGCAAGACGGGGCCTTTAGGTCCCCACATAGGACTATATTGTAATATATGTGTATATCAGCGGTACAAAGCCTGCCTCCCTCATGGCCTTTGTATTCCTGAAATGCTTAGCAGTTAGTCCACTGACCCCAAATAACTTCAGAGTCTTTTGGTCCAGTTCCCTACTAAGGAAACGCTCCATTTTCAAGCATCATGCTGTGTGAATGTATAGGTTCAGCGCTAACATCATAAAATGGATGCGTACCATTTAGGAAGACGGCAATCTCCTTATTAGACTAGCTGTTCTGTTTTGTTTTCAGTCCAGCTTGTTTGTTTGTTTGTTTGTTATTGAAACAGGATCTCCCCATAGTCCCAGCTGGCCCGGAACCCTCTATATAGACCAGGCTGGCCTTGATCTCACAGATATGTGCCTGCCTCTGCCTCCTGAGAGCTTGTTTTCTGCACACATTTCTTGTTAATTACTTGGTACTCGGAGTACATGGTGCCAATGTAAGTGAAAACATTTCTTCTTTCTCCCTTCTTTTTCATCCTATTTCCTGACCAGTGACTTCTCTTATACAGAAAAGCTTTGCATCCACATGTAATAACTTGGCTGAACTCCTCATAGCTTTTCTGCTAATTCAAGGTAAAGTTCCTAGAAACAAATGAGTGCGGTATCTCCATATTTACCACAGGATAAAGTTTAACTGCTTTCTGAAAACATTTCTTCTTTCTCCCTTCTTTTTCATCCTATTTCCTGACCAGTGACTTCTCTTATACAGAAAAGCTTTGCATCCACATGTAATAACTTGGCTGAACTCCTCATAGCTTTTCTGCTAATTCAAGGTAAAGTTCCTAGAAACAAATGAGTGCGGTATCTCCATATTTACCACAGGATAAAGTTTAACTGCTTTCTGTGGCACACCAATCTGACTTTGCCCCTATATTCTGCCCTTTCCAGAACTCCCCAACATGCACTTTATTTTCCAGGCCAACATAATTCCTTTAAGCTTCCCTAAACAGGTCAAACACATCCACACCTCTGCATATGCTGTCCCCTCTGCTCAGAATTCCCTTCCCCACCTCCTTCCTCTACCTTCCAACAGAAGCTTTTCATCAAATTCAGCTCAATGCCACTCTCTTAGGTAAGGCTCTCCTGAACTTCTAATCCTAGCATAGGCAAAACACAATTCAGCAGTATATTTCAGTCACAGCACCACTGAATCTTTTTCCTGAAAGCAACATACATGTTTGTTTTTAAAAGAAAAAAGATCTGAGAAAGAGAATCACCATAATCCCACCAGTCAATTAATATTTCAGTAGAGTTGCTTTTTAAAAGAAAATGTGGACAAAAATTGCAGGACTCAGTA